CCCGGGGTGTTTGGGGGGGGGGGGGGGGGCCTGGAAATGAAAAAATTCGGACTTTGACGCGCGCCTCTGCGCAAAATTGTGTCAAGTGCAAATTAATGACAATGGGAGGAATGGGACAGCAGTGGTGGCTCGTTAAAAGGTTCGACACAAAAGTGTTCGACTATTGTGAAAGTTTGCGCTTTATCGCGTGGTATTGTCGCCAAATCAGCCGCGTAAAGTGTCGACGACATGGTGCGATCGTGTGGGGGCAATGTCGATGGGTCCGAGGGTCCTACGCGCGAATTTGCCAATTACCGGCGCATGTCTGACCCTCGATACTCGAACATGACTCACGCTGCTTTGGGAAAATTTTATTTTCTCAGTACTTCCGTCGCATGCATCCCGGGTGTGGTGCTTTCGACCGAGCACTTTATCTCGATAATTACACAGTGCCAGTAGAGACAGATTATTATTATAGTCAAGAGGTAGGAGAATTAATAACGAGACACCGTTTAACAACTACATTAGCTTACCTTTGCTCACAAAATATTCTCTCCATTTTAATAGGGTAATATTTATTTTGTTATTTTGTTATTTTGTTTATTTGTTTATTTGTTAATATTCTCGACATCGTTGTATATAACAAAGTTATATAATTATTGACTATTTTATACTCTAAAATTTCTCTGTCTACGTAATTCGTTATAAAATATTCAAAAAGTTCTATTGTACTTTTATCTTAGGGTGCGCTACGCGAATTTCATCGCTATGGAAAAATTACAGAGTCTATATTGATAAATATCGATAGAACAACGAGTTCCCCAAACTTTTCATTTGTTCACAAACAAATTTTGTAATAAAAGATTTTTTATTTTTCGACTGCTTTTAATCGGCTTGAAACGAAATTTTAATTCTGCTTCGATAATGATAATAAAATCGATAATGCAAAATACATATTTTGTATGCACTCGATGCGATTAAAACGAGAGGAATATCAGGCGTACAAAATTTCAATAATACATTTGATTAGCTGATGTAAAACTAATAGCGACACTTAAAATAAATATTTAAAAACAATATTCGTAAAAAATTATTCAAGCAAATTTTTTTAACGACGAAATCTTATATCGCGCATGTAATAATATAATGTCGAATTATTATTCATATTTATAAAGTCTTTTAATGGCCAACAAAGGTATTCAAATTGGAAATTTTTAGTCAACATCATAATTGACGATAATTATTCCTTTTACTATCGATGGAAGTGATATTTTAGTATTATTACAATACAATTTCTTACGTGTATAAATGAGAAACCTATCGGGTTAAGTTGCTCCTATTTAATATTTCATAAATATAAATTTCTTAAATCATACTATAAGTAAATATGTAATCTGAAAGCATAATAAACTATAATCGTAAATTATAATCGATTAAGAATGATAATCGATACAAAAATCGATAATTAATAAATAAATTCAAGTTCATTTACATTCTATGCAATATATTCATTCAACATTAACGTTAAACATTATATTATTAATATATATATATATATATATATATATATATATATATATATATATATATATGTTCGAACATTATATTAATTATATAAAATTAATTATAATATATATTAAATTGAAGTAAAAAATATATATTTAAATTTTACGTGAATTGTAAATGAATTTGAAATATATATATTAGTAGAATATTTTTAATATTGACCAATATAGAATGAAGATTATCTTATTATTTAGATGATAAGAGATTTAGGATAAAAGAAGTTTAAAATTTTTATAATTACAACGATATATTTACTTATTTCGCTATTTGAAAATTTAATTTAAAAGTAAGTGAAAATTTTCATAAACGTAATACGGAAAGCATTGTAATTTGCATAGTAAAAGCAATAAGTCGATTAATAATTCAAAGGCCCATTTAATTATTTTACAGTATTTTCATGTTAGCTATTAATAATCTATTATATATATATAGATTTTTTTTTAAGTTGAAAAACGAGATCATATCTTACTAACGTAATTAATTATAAAATTAGTTTTATTTATTATTGTAACGTCTACTAGCTTTTCTTTTTAAACCTTTTTTCAATTAAATTAAAATAAATTTAGATCGGGAAACTTATTTTTTATTACGCTGGCATAAAATTCGATAAAAATTTCGAATATTTTTAAGCGTTTTTACTTAATAATTATAATTTAAGATTTATTTTGATTAATCACTATATACTGGGGCACCTGAAATTAAATAATTAGCACAAAGTTGGATATTACATATAAATAAACTATAAATATCCAATACCATAGAAGATTATATTATATAATATTGCATTATATTTTTAATATTTAATTATTTAAAATTTAATTGATTTGTCATTTATAGGTAATAAGAAAATATATATATTTTTATATCATAGAAGAAACTTCCATCTCTTAAATTAATAAGATCCTAACGTACAAAGGCCTTTCACATTTTATCCTTTTATAATTGAAATGTTATTTTTGCAATTAGCTCTTTTAATTTGAAATGTCCTCTCCTACAAATTTTTATAAATTTCAGTAAACGAAATTGTCGATTTTTTATGAAATATTATTAGTTATTGAATACAATAATTCTATATGTAATCATTTCCAAATTATTAATATATATATATATATAAATATATATATATATATATATATATATATATATATATGAGAATACTAAGTACTCTAATCAGTTCTATGGATTAAAATTCTCTTATTGGTTTTTAAAATTTGCAATGCATATATAATTCATATACTTAACGAAAATTAATTAGAAAAACAAATTTTAAAAACAACTTTACATAATTTCAAATTAATTAATTGAACATTTCTTTTTAATTAAAAATGTAAAATACGTTTTTTATTATTAAGCAATAATAATAATGATGATGCATTAAAAACTTATAAATTATTCTTTTCTGCTATAACGGGTTTTTCATTAACATTTTATGATAACTGTGAATAATTAGTATATAATAATAATTGCGAAAAATTTATCGTTCAATCACTTGAGAGTTGAAGTGACTTTGGTACATTTCAATAGGGTGTAATAAATTCTGGAAATTCATTACGAATAATTATGAAATTTTAGTGCGATAATGAACATTCTTTGAAAAAATAAAAATTATATATTTATTTTTGACTAGATACTTTGTTTTATTTTTGAAAATTTTAAGTAAACTTACATATTTATTATCGGCCGATTAATTGACCGATAAATAATAGATTTCCTTTAACAATATGTACGCATGCCTCTCTTCGCTTATTAAACTTAATTTATAACTAATATATAAATATATAAGTATTGATTTGAAAAATTAGTTGATAATTTGTTGGCAAATACGACATTAAAATTGTTTATTCAATTCAGCTTCTTCACGTAGCTTTTATAGCACATTCGTACGTCTATTTATAATTTATATTAGGATATAATATCATTTGTTTATCATTTTTATATATTCTTTTAGACTTGAAAGGCAGTGCAACTATAATAAATTTATTAGCGGTGAATCTTATGGTTAAAAAGCAATTAAATATTAGTTATATAGAAGAATTAATTATTCGTTATCAAGTACTATTAGCTATATAAGTTTTATAACAGTTTTTATTATAACCTTGTAGTTTAATGTAATATAGTTGTATGGCTCAAAAAAAAAAAAAAAAAAAAAATATATATATATATATATATATATATTTATCTATATTTATATTTTTATGTTGAATATAAGGAAACAACTTTATAAATGATTATCTTTTTTCTTTTAAAGATT